GTGTGTGTGTGTGTGTGTGTGTGTGTGTGTGTGTGTAACAAAATGATAAACCACAGAGCTTTGCACACAGATGGGTGACAAATTGAAGGAAAGAGTAAATTTAATGAGTGCAGAAGCACAACAGATGCTGAAACACGGGTGCAGCGAATGGTGAAGTTAATCTATTGACATTCAATCATGCTTGGCTGCATTTTGTATTGAGATGGCAATAGAACAAAGATGGCAGGAGCCTGAAAACTGGTCATCTAACCGGCGTGTCGGTAGCAGCGACTAATGTGACATCATTATTTAGCCTAATACCATGAGAGACTGTGTTTTGGTCAACAACACAGAGGAATAGTTCAGATTGTTTGAAACAGGGATCTGTGGAAAGGGTATGAACAATTATCATCTTATCGGTTGCAGAACAGTTTGATGAGYTAATGGCTAGTCCGTGCAGGGCCAAAACAAGAACTGCTGCTGTCTTAAAAAATGACGAACAAAAGATTCATGGCAGTTCACGCAAATACTCCTTTATTTATTTATTTATTTGTTTGTTTTTGTCAGTTTTGCATTTCAAGGGTTGTTATGGCCTGAGGCTGTTTGTTCCATTTGTTTTACATAMGACTGTGCAGTTGCAGGATGGTGATGGCCCAGCTGTGCTGTATCCTGTCTGAGTTTGGCTGGTCTCTCCTGACTCCTGGTGGACCTCCTCCTGGTTCGATGTTTGGACTCTAACCACATAAGACTCACCTCTTCTGCCAGTCCATGTGGCTGTTCTGATTGAGCAGTTTGCCATCTTGTCTGGGTGTTTTAGGCCCAGTCCCAATGCTCAGTGCGTACCCTACACCTACACCACTCTGTGAATTGTGGATTCAGTCGAAGTGTATGAGTGCTCAGGTTACAAGYGTGCAAAAAATTGAGAATTGGGACAGAACAGATTGGACAACAGTAGTTAGCATTTAGGCTAGCGGCAGTTAACAGTCACTTCTAACACAGAGAAATATTAAAAAATAAAATTGATTTCAACAAAACATTGTCCTGAACTAATAAAAAAAATTTCTAACAATGGTACCTGTCTATTCCTTGTACACATAACCCACCTGTCTAAACAGAAATCATTCTTTAGCAGTGGCTCAATGCTGACTTCGCTGTTCATTTCAGGTTTTGTTTGTACTCATTATGACTGTTGGCTTATCAATCTGGTCTGCAACAGATAAGATAATAATTATTCATATCTGAGCTACGGAATCGAGATCTGAACTATTGGTATAAAGTATGTCTCCAACTCCTTTAWCAAAATGTAAAAAAAATGGTCTAGATCCCTGCAGTACACCTAACACCTTGGGTTGCTCCTTTTAACTTCTCACCCATGTGCATTTTTATTGTCTGTTAAAGTTTTTTGTTTTGGTTTTAAGACAAAACTGTTTGGGGCCACATTTCTGTCAAACACCTACGTACTTTGGCTGAATCTGAAGCTAGCCTGAGAGAAAGCAAGATTGAAACTAAGATCAATCCACAAACAGAAAAGCTTTCTTCCTCAAAATTAATCCAGCATTCAGTACTGTGGTTAGGGTTTGTGACAGAGCACTACAGGTTTAAACTGACAGAAAAACACAAAGAAAATCACATTAAAGTACTTTCAGTTTCCCAGTCTTGATGTGGAATTGTGTGGAGGTGTAAGGAAGAAAGGATGCAGACTTCTTTGGATGAAGGAACAATATTGTCACTTGTTTTGGGAGGGGCAGAGGGGGAGGTCAAAGGTTTAGACGAGGGATCGCCAGGTGTTGGAAAAGAAAAAAAACACGCCACACTGAAGGTGACTCTATGTTGTGCACTCAAACACGTGGTGCAAACATAGGGACAAACCTTGGTTCTCCTGGCATCCAGCAGCTGCAGAGCATGGGCAGAATGAACAGAAAAACAAATGTATGGTGAAAACAGAGCGTCAGAGCTTGATGCAACAGAGATGGATGATCCACACAGACCAGCCAAGTTAATAAGACCAGTCGCTGGTTTACAGCTGCTCTGCAGTCTATACAGCATAATAAAATATTTTCATGACAAACATTTTTGACTTGTGACAGTAAGAAATGGCAAACCTATTGCTCCTTTTTTTCTTTGTGTTAAACAATTAAACCAATTTGTGGTTCCAGGTACTTCTACTGTATAACATTTTGCTTCTAGTTACTTTAAAAGTCAAAATGTCTGCCAGGAAAAAGCATAAATACATACAAACACAACATGAGTTTATCTAGACAACCTTTCTGGAAAGAGATATTTTAAAAAGTCAGAACTGGGTTTATAATGCGTCGAATAAAGTGACTTATTTGCAACTTTCTGTCTAATTTAACAAACAATATAATCATAACAAAGTTTAAATAATGAGTAACTTATGAGTTTAAATCAACGGTTTCCAACCTTTTCAGTGTTTGACCCACAGAATAGCAGCAGGAACCCGTTCCCGCAATTATTTGTGGGCGATAAACATTGTTATCAAGTCAAATAAACAAGGTAAACAAGGACATAACGATGTTCATTATGCTRATTGAATCAGATTGATTGATGATGCCTTCATTGTCATTGTGCAGAGCAAAATGAAATTACATTAACACCCATTCAAGACAAAAACATTTTTAAGTACATCTCACTCTTTTGTAACAACTAAGGCAAAAAACTGTTGCTAGTAGTAATTTTAAAATGTAGTTAATTCTGAAAATCTGTTCAAGAACCCACCTTGATATTTCAGGACCCACAGTGGGGTCCCGACCCCAACTTTGGGAACCACTGGTTTAAATGACTGAGAAAAGTGTGAAACATTTTTTTATGGTGGCAAGTAAATGTAACCAATCATAGGAACAAATAGAAAAAGTAATTATTGCTGATTAAGTGATTTCAAAACATAAAAAAATATGTAAAAGAAATTTTATAAAGGACAAGCAAACAAAGGACAAGCATGATTCATTTAGAAACCTGAAATCATGCAGCTCAAACAAGTTAAATTTTAATGTCTTTTATTGATATGCATGTGTTTTAACTACCATCTTTGGGATAAGGCATCAAAGAAAGGTCTTTTAACGGACCAAACTTATTAAAGCCTTATTAAAGCCTTATTTAAAACCTACCTTCTCCCCTACTCGTGTGACTGTATCTTTTCTCTCCCTCTCAGTTGCACGCCTTCCTACTCTGATCAATAAGCTTCTGCGCTGGAACTAAACTGCAGCTCTACAGTCCAATGATTTCATTTGCATAATTGCACTGTGGCTTAAAATCACTGCATGGCCGTTTTTCCCTTCGTCTCTCCACGTCACCCACAGTGACGGTGCAGGTTGGTCGGTTATGACTCAGCGGTTATCGGTGTCGTGGTCACCCATGCCTTATCAGAAGTTTTTTTTTACTTTTCTTCTGCTGTTTTCTTCCAAAAAGTTTAGSATCACCAAGCAGAGGTGATGAGCTGCAGTGCATCCATCTCTTTAACTGACACCTGCAGCAGCCGGGAGTAACTGGTTGTCATAAATCTTTTGGTGCAGAAACAAGGAATCCTTCTGAGAGCAAAACAAAGCAGTTTCTGCCATAGAAATCTCTTGTCAAAAATGTGGGTTTTTATTTTTGAGGTGAGGAAGTTTTGCTCTATTTCTGACACCCTGCCTTGGATGTACTTGTTCTTTTTATTTGCTAATCTTGGCTAACTTATAAATGATGGAGTTGTTGCTGTTTTGATTAAATTTAGAAAAATGCACAATCTTTTGCAGCACCACAAGAGGTCACTGTTAGAGTACATGTTGTAAATGACTCTTAGCTACTATTTCAAACTAGCTCCACATCTGCACAACTGACTGAGATGTGGCTATTTTTAGCAAATTGGTTGATTAGCTGAGGCGGCCATTTGGAATTAAATGGGCTTCAAAAGTTATCATTCAGTAAACACAGTTGACTCCAATAGTCAAAACTAAAATTTGACTCTCAGCTACCCAGTTTTTAGCAAAATATCTATAAACTTGACTAAGTTATAGTCTTTATAGCTAGTATTTTTGTTGGTGCTGGCTAAAGTCAATTAGCTGTGGCAGCCATCTTGAATCTATGTGCATCAAATCATTTTTTTGACAGTTTCATTAAAATCCATACAGGGTTTCATGACATATTTGTATGAGTCACCTGTGAACCATAGTCATGTGATGTGAGTATCAGTC